ATTTTCTCCCCCCCCCCCCCCCCCCCACTATTTGGAAGTACCGAGCAGAATAGCCGAGCTGAATGCAGCTCGGCGGCATTCGGCTATTCACTCACTGCCGTTCGGCCCCTATGTCAATAGGGGCAAATGGCAGTGAGTGAGCTGCCGGCGCTTCGGCTCAGCCGATCCAGATGTTGGATCGGCTGAGTTGAAGTCCTCCTGCACTTCGGCTCAGCCGAACATGACCGAAGTACAGCCGAAGGCAGCCGATGTACGGCTGAAATCGACCGTACTGAGTGAGCCGTAGTGAATAGCCAAACGTTGTTCGGCTCACTTCACTACGGCTCGGTATTGTGAATAACCCTGAGAGTCATTCTGGGGGCCAGTAACTGTCAGAATCATACTTACGCTGAAGCGGATTGGACTCTGCTAGATCCAACAACTGAACCTTTTAAGTACCCTAAACCTTTAATCCCAACCACTGAGAGCTGTGGGGGACCCAGAAGATTGAGACTTCGATTCCTTTCCAAACTTCAGAGGAAGATCAGTACTGAACAGAGTGGCATTCTGGCAGTAATGGCAGAAAGAAAGATAAGTATTCTGCTCTTATTTAGCAGGTATTCTTGTTTCTGAATGTTCCATGTCATGACAGAGTTGCTTTAAGGAATGCAGGTGTCAGCCCATATGTTCACCATTCATGCTTAGAAATTATTATTATTATTATTGCATTAATTGGTGCTTTTTCATTCATAGACGTCAATCTTCACTCCAGCTTTTGGCTCAGAAACAAAGGTTATGATTAAGAGCACTATGAAAACAAAAGAAGTCATTGAACAATTACTACACAAGTTCATGGTAGGTACATTGGGTGTTTCCAGTATCCCTCATTTATTTAGATAAAAAATTACCATATGGAAGCAAATCCAGCCAAGCAGACTGAGGAGGTATAAATGTAGGTTTAAATGAGTACTCATGTAAAAATAATATTTTACAATCCTGCTGGGTACTAAATAGTTAACTGTAATGAGGTGTATGTCACCTCCTGGATCGCTGCCCTTTCTTGACTATTTACAAAATCATTGATGCCAGGAAGTATAGCGTTTGCTATACTTCCAACTCTGCAACAAGAGAGCTGTAGCTCTCCTACACAAAAGCCATACTGTCTTTTATCTGCCCCTATCTTCCCTTGTCCATTCACAGAAAGCTTTGTATGTTGTGAATGTTTTACAGAATATAAAGTATTATGTGAATGGACAAGGGGAGAGGAGCGGCAGATAAAAGACAGTATGACTTTTGTGTAGGAGCGCTGCAGCTCTCAACCTGCAGTGCCAGAAGCTATACTTCCCAGCATCAACTAAGTGGAAAAGTTAAAGTATATCTAAAGGCAAAACTTTTTTTTTTTAGAGCTGTGAGGAATTAGAACTACAGTTTTTTTGCTATCTGTTTCCCAGTTAGGAAGACATGCTCTCTATATTGCCCTGTTCATCATTGTCCCCGGGAATGAAAGTGAAGGTAAATCCAAAACTTTGAGTTGCTACCAGGGGAAAACTTCCATTAGCGATACCTGTTCCTGTGACAACTGTCTAAGAGGGGATTTGAATACTATACAATAATTTTTGAAAGACATCCTCTCGCTTCCTACAGGACAGAACATAGAGGGAAGTCTTCCTAATGAGACAGAGATGGCAACAAAATGAAAGCCATTTTATACTTCCACTATTCTATTCAATTGACTTTAGCTATAGTTTAAGAAAAGGGAAGCAAGGCCAGACACTTTGACATCCACATAATATCCAAAAGGAGGAGCAAATGCAGGGCACTGTTGGCTTTCTGAAAAAAAAAAGTCACTGTAAAAAGAAACTTATAAAAACATTTGATTTGTGACTGATTTGTATGGATGCCATACTTTTGAGTTCTAGAAATGAATATGGCATAATGGTTTTGTATCTCTCCTGCTTTTACTTCATTCCAGTAGTAATGGTACACTAGTCTATTGGGCATTTACAATGGAGCACAAAACCCAATCATGCTAATACAGTGCCATTTATAAGAGAACCATTATATGAAAAAGGAAGAAAGACAATACTATACATTATTTGATATATTGAGGGAGGGAACCTTTTAGGGATATCATATTAAGTTGCCTATGGAATTTATAAATATCCCTTTTTTGTTACAGATTGAGAATAGCCCAAATGAATTTGCACTATACATTATTCATGCATCAGGAGGTAAGCATATACGAGTCCCATTAGAAAAGTGTTACTCGTTACAGTGTGAAAAGTTCCACCATATAGCAAACACTTCAGCTTTTGCTAGTAGTTGTTAGTCACAATGAACTGGAATTGTTCTGTAATGTTAATAACATTTCCACCACCTGTCCCAGTGGCCTCCTCTGTGCTAATGAGTAATGAAAACATACCCCAGCATTTATAAACACATGGGTAACTTAGTTAGGAATGTTAAAATTTGATGGAACCACCATGTTTTATTGTACATAATCCAAACACCATGGTGCCATGATATCTTGGACTGGTGTTAACTGTTTAAGGTAAAATTGCTAACGACATACATAATCCAATCACCTAGTTTAAGGAGTCCCACCACTGTTCAGGAATAGTTGTTGGCATTTAACATAAATGGCCTCTTTCAGGCCTTTTTCGAACCTGGTGTCCTCTCTGTTCAAAATGTGCTTTTCACTGTCCCTATTTATTAAGGTGTTCTGACCTGCACAGTTTGCCCTCTGAAAATGCAGAGACCTGCTCAGGTGCTGCGTGTAATTGCGTGCAGCCACCTGTACCTCCCTATGGGAGAACCCGGCTGTATGCGGCTACACTCCAACCCGAACCTGCACATCCATGTGGCTTCGGGTGCCTGCACTTATATGCAGATGTTTTGCAGATTCAAGTCGGAATGTAGCGTGTCCTTTAATCACATGCAGCACCAGTCGCTCCCAGGAGCAGTTCTCTGCATGCCGTATGGATGTGCACAGCGGTGTGAATGGGTCATTAAGAGACTGCAACTTTGCCCATTATGGGCAAAGTGAAAATGTGTCTTTAAAACCCACTCCCAACCTTCTCATACTTACCTCCCTCTACTTCCATGCTGCTCAATTGCTGGGCAGTCCTAAGCTTGTGTAAGCTTCATGTTGGATAGTTTTGCATCTTACACAGGTCATTGATGATATCATTCTTCATGTGTCTAAATAGGGTGAAACATAAAAATAAAGAATTGTGAAATAAAATGGTCCTTTAATGTTCCAAGTCTCTCCACTTCTTTTTCTTCCTACTAGTAATTATAGAGCATGATGGTGGCAGCACAGCACTGAAGCCAGTATAAATAATATTTCTGCATATAAAAGTATGATCTAATAGTATATAGTGTAAGGTTTTTTTTAATTACATTATTTAGAACATATAACAAATGTAAAAAAAATGTTGTCTTCTAGAAAAGAAAAAGTTGAAGAAGAAGGATTGCCCCTTGTGGGAACGGCTCCTACAAGGTCCTTCAGGAAGCATAGCGAGGATGTTCCTCATGGACAGAGAAGCAGAAGAGATTAGCAGTGATGTAAGTACTTACTGGTATATCAGTTCTTTCTTACTACTAGCTATTTAAGATTTTTCAAATATGCTTTTTGTTTTCCTCTTTTGGCAGGTAGCACAATACATTAAATTTAATCTTCCACTTTTAGAAAAAATACTGCAGAGGTTAAATGAGGAGGAAGAACGGGAAATTCAGAGAACTATCGCTAAGTAAGTATCATTGGTTTATTTGACACTACAGTATAGCAATGCAGTCATCATGTTTTACACCTAAAGTGCACCTGCGTCTGGACTAGAGATATTAAATTAGTACTAAACACTAGGCTTTTTCTACCCTAATGCATTCTCTGCATTAGAGCAAACGCCCAGCACCTTTTTCTGTCCTTCGTCCCCCTCCCCAACTTACCTGTGAACATCTGTCACTGTTGCTGGTTCCCCAAACTTACTGGTTGCAGGGGAGGATACTGCGGACAGAGAAGCCATAGGCTTCTTCTGCTGTCAGTCAAAGTGCGACTGTGGGAGCAGGGGGAAATGGCTTGCCGCCAGCTGATGGAGGCACCCTTGCAGGGGGCGGGAGGGAGAGCGATGCGAGACCCACTACAGAATATGGAATTGAACATTTTTAAACAACATTTACAATTTAGGATTTTTATCATTGTGGGCCTCCAATTCATAAGAAAAAAAAACTCCTAAGGGTTTAATATCACTTTAAAGTATTTTACGGTATTTACGGTATTTTTAACCAGCAGTAAAACAAGTCATCCCTGACCTCTCAAACTGCATGTGCTCTGAAGTAATGAATGCTTAAAGATCCTTAAAGATCACAAATTAGACTGTAATAAAGTGGTTTTCAGTGGTTTTCAAACAGGTTACAGCACCTGGTGATTGTTTAAAGGCTGGTAGACTTCCAGGTTTTTGCTAAAGGGGAAAAAAAGGGGAAAGGAGCTGAGACTTTGGTGCCTCTGTTGTGAAATTTGCAGATAACTGTCTCCACGATGCACATAGCTTCAAGGGTGAATGAGGGCTTGTTTTAAAGTTCTTTATTGTTTGTTTAGAAATTGTTAATACTTTAATATGAATAGTTTGCTCATAACTTCCCTTTAATATAACTGCCAGAGTCATTTTTGTACACTGTAAAGCCACCCAAATCACTTCTATCAGAGAGCCCGAGGTTGGCTCTTCAAAATGTAAACAATCTGCAGCAACTACAGCAGCAATGGTAGGGAAAAGGTTCAAATAATTATGTGGCCAGGTGATGGACATTTAAATATTTAAAATTTCTTAACAAGCAGTAAAACAGCTATAAAACAAAAAAAAAGCTGCAACTGAGCCTTGTATTTACAGCTGTGGAGAAATTCCTCCTCAAATTCACGATACATGCAGTAAAAGCACTGGGTCTCAGCTCTCTGCTCTATCCCTTCTCCTGTGCACCCGCTCTGTATTTGTATTATAAATTAGAGTCTGGTAGGCTGCCAAGTGACTGCTGGTAGGAACCTTAGCTACCTAGAGAAAGTAAAAGTTAAACTGAGAAGCTTCTGCTGCAAACTTTGAGTATGAATTTCTTCCCGTGTGTCTGTTGCTACAAAGGTCAATGAGGACTTGTTTTAAAGTTGAGTTATTGCTTGTTAGCAATATGTAAATATTTGAATGCCCACATCCTAGCCAGAGTTCTACTATAACCCCTTGTGGAATCTAAAATTGAACCCTTGCAGTGGGGCTACCCCTGCACTGCAGTGGTAACTGCTTGTTTTGGTCTAGGGGCTCAAATAAAAGAAATATACTCACCTGATCCTCAATTCTACTTGGATGCTAGACTGGTCCCCCCAGCCTCTTCTCTCCTGGGCTCCAGCATTCTAAGCCCTGTTGATGTCATCATGTCTAATGCAGTCAATTCACCTGCATTAGATGTGAGAACGCTTAGGTACATACCACAGCTGGGGCGAAGGGTGAGAGAGGTGAGTGTCAACCGCCGCAGGACTGAGGATCAGGTAAGTATATCTTCTATATTCCAGCCCCTAGAGAAAAACAAGCAGTTAACCCTTGCAGTGGGGGGGGATTAAATTTGAGGAGTATACAGGTAATGATGTATAATGTACAGCTTTCTTGTGTCACAGTAGTGTAAGCCTCATTAAATGTTTCATTCATTTAAATTAAACAAAAGTTTCCAATCTTCCTCTTAATTTTAGGTACGTCCATGAAAAGTCCATAGTGCTTCAATACCTTAATACGAAAACAGTTAAAAAAACGGAGACTACAGTTTAACTGTCTAGATACATTTTATGCAGAGAAGGCAAATATTTAAAAAACATGGAACTGCTGGGATTGTACAATAGAGTGACTCCAGAGACTGCACCGCTAGTTAGCAGGCTACCACAGAAGATATAGTTGGAAGGACTTGGAATATTATTCTGAAAACAACACATGTACCTCAGGCTGCAAAAGGTTCAAGCAGTATGATTTATTCAGCAATGTGTTTCATCAAAAAGTCTATCTAATACGTTAGGATACTGTACAGCGTATTAAAAGCAAAGAGATGTTTACATTATTATTTTGTGATTCATTGTGGATTTTAATGTCACTCCTTTATATTCAACAAAGCATTTGATATTATACCGGAGGGCAAAAACAAGCTGTCATTTGTTTCTGTATATGTGCCTTTGCTATATAGATTTTAAAGACTATACACTCCAAATGAACAATCTTGTTTTAACTGTTTTACTGCCACCACTTTTTACATGCGCCTATAAATTGGAAGATATTGACTGTGCCCACCATTAAATGAATGGCATTGGCAGGAAAAGAGTTAACCCTTCTCTCTATAAATGGTTTTTAAGGATTGTAAGCGGATGTATTTATTGATGATAACAAAAGGGTGCATGTTTGTTGAGTAGTGGAAATATAGATTGGAAAAAACACTTTCAATTCAACAAATCACACAATATTTATTAATAGGTATATAGTTCATATTTGCCAAGCTATTGCCAGTTAAAGCACAAGATTGATTGACTGTTTTACAATTAGACAGACCCTAATTTGTCTATTCTGTATGAACATGGGCAAACAAACTGAAAAGAGAATGCAGAATTGTTGCTGTGTAATATATATATATATATATATATATAGTACACACACACACATTGTAATGTTTCTGTGTTTCTTAGCAGCATACATACAGACCACACTATCCAGAGAATTCCAATGCTGCAGACTTTATTGAAATTCACAGCAAATCCAGTATAACAATGAATAAAAGTGTAAAAAGCAACAAATGCCAGCACTGCACACCCGCAACCAACTACAATACAACCTCTCACATTTTTAACCTAAATTGACAAATTTAGGTTAAAAAAAATCTCTCACATGAGGTTGTAGTTGGTTGCGGGTGTGCAGTGCTGGCATTTGTTGCTTTTTACACTTTTATTCATTGTTATACTGGATTTGCTGTGAATTTCAGTAAAGTCTGCAGCATTGGAATTCTCTGGATAGTGCGGTCTGTTTGTATGCTGCTACATTCCAAGGTGGAGACGCACCTATTGGACCAGCACCTGGGGAGTCCTGATGGTGGCTGAGGAATTGGAGTGGTGAGATTTCCTTTGGCTCTACATTTCTGTGTTTCTTAACTGAATATATTTTTAGAAATAAATTCTATTTTGTGATTATTGATGTATGCTTTCTGTGATTTCTGTACTGCCTATCAGTAAAACGAGTGTGGTGCAGAATGTGGTTGTTGGTACAGGATGTGTAACTTGTAGCTCTATAGAGATAGGAGAGATGCTACTGGGGAACATAACTGGATTTTCTCTGGCCAGGAGATGCAGGGAGACAAGTCTCATAGAATTCTATGTTACTATACTGTGCAGGTCAGGCCAGCAGTAAGAGGAGGTCAGAGCTGGATGTAACCAAAGCAGGAGGTCCTGGATGCTGGATCTCGGTAGGTATACATCTGTGGAGGGAGAGGGTGGTCTTTATGATGCCAGCAAAGGTGGGCAGAAAGTGCCTGTTACTAGCAAATTCTCCACGTAAGAAACTGATACACAAAAATGACTTGCTTAAGAAAACTGTAGTATGAGGCATGATGCCAAAGAGAATTTTGTTCTCAGCCTTTTAAACCTTTTCTTGAAGTCCATTGAGGGACACAGAAATTCAAATATAGCCAAGTCATACTGCCATCTAAAGGAGGATTTTAATACTGGCAAAAAAAAAATCTAGCAAGCAGCACCAAAGCAGCATCACAAACACAGAGGAGTGGGACCTGTGTCCCTCAATGGACTCCAAGAAAATCATATAATGGTGAGTACAAAAACCATATTTGATATCTCGTCCATTGAAACACACAGGAATTTAGATACAGTTGGGATGTCTGAAAGAAGATCAACTAAGGGGTGGGTAGTTCAGCTAAGAGGTATTCCCCAGTACTTTTTTATGGATCTAAGAGGTCCATAAAAAAGTACTGGAGACTGCCTGCAGCTCAATGGAAACCTAAAGGACCAACTCTCGAATCTGAACTGGATGAGACTGACTACCCTTCTAGATAGGGGCACATGTCAATAAGACCAGAGGGAGACATGGAAAATCAATCTGATACTTAAGACCAATATATAATAACTAACAACAGTGGAAATGGGGGCTGAAGTGGTCTAGCAAGTGACTGTCTGATAACAAGGGGTCTAAAAGCAGAAATGCTGTGGACCTTTCCAGCAAGGGGCTGTGATGGTTACCGTTTCCTACACGTGACAGACAGTTTAAAACACTGAAACCTGACAAGGCTAGATCCATTTGAAACTTGCAGACATTGAAACCCTTGGGGGCATTCTGTTTACCAGCATCCACGACTCCTACTTTCTTCATAGGAGGTCAACTGAGTGTCCTACAATGGGTATGCCAGGAAATGGGAATAGGTCAAACACAGGAGTCAGGGCTTTGAAACGTATCGAGTGTGTGTGTGTGTGTGTGTGACACTGAGGATACAGATCTTTATTCAGTTGAGTGAACAGTCAAAGCTGGTCTCAAATGATCTAGTAGGTAAACCTGACAAGGCTAGATCCAGTTGGATCTTGCAGGCATTGAAACCCTTGGGGGCATGTTGTCTACCAGGATCCACGACTCCTACTTTCTTCATAGGAGGTCAACTGAGTGTCCTACAATGGGGATGCCAGGAAATGGGAATTGGTCAAACACAGGAGTCAGGGCTTTGAAAGGTATCGAGTGTGTGTGTGTGTGACACTGAGGATACAGATCTTTATTCAGTCGAGCGAACAGTCAAAGCTGGTCTCAAATGATCTAGTAGGTCAACAAGTCCCTCTGGAAAGGAGGGACAATGGGAGGTATCAAGTACCACTAAGGGATTTACATCCCTAAGGAAGAGAGTAGTGTCCTAGAAGGGGAACAGTTCTAGAGTCCGAGCTGACAGGGGAGGTTAGCAAAAGCCAAGGGGACCAGGGAATATGCATTAGTCGGTGTAGGAGCACAAGCAGCAGCTGAAGAAAAAAACAGAACCTTTAAGCCTAAAAGTGTGCACCTTGCACCTGATTGAAAAAGGGGCAAAGAACCCAAGGATGTTTGACACATTCAGTTTGACACACTCAGGAAGATGTCTACCCTAGCAGTGTAGAGATTCGTTTTGAAGGATCTAACCCTTTTGGTCATGGTTTCACAAATTTAGGTTAAAAAAATGTTTCCAGTGTCCGGGACTTGGACTCACCCAAACAAGCTAAAGAAGAGTCCAATGAGGTAGACCCAATGATCACAGGGTCACTAGATTCGAGGTTACAGATGTCAATGTCTTCTAGATGCAGACATGTTGCAACTGCATGGTGGTGATGCAACTAAGCTCAAAGTGCGAGGCAAGGCATCAGGTACACACAAACCCAGTCAGCACGTGCTGATTAGGGTCAGACAGCCAGAGGTGACCTGGTCAGTATAGCCAGGCAGTAGGAACAAACGAGATATTGGCGTTCCACATTGTGCTTTTTCAAGCAGAAGTGGCAGTGACATAGTAGTTCTTCATGTTGAATAGCAGGAAAGAGTGCAGAGTGTGAACATATGAAACTACATTAGGCAGATTACATCACTGCTCACTCCTTCTGCATTGACCCCTACGCATCAAAACTGGTGATAGCTCAAAAGTTGACAAGGCTCAACGGTGCAAATAACAAGGTAGCTTCTTGTCCTCAGCCCTAAACAGAGTGAATCTTCAAAGAAAGGGTAATCGTTGAAGTAATGCTATGATTGTGGACCTGAAAACCACTCTACGGCTAACTATTACCAGTACTCAAAGTCTGGAAGGTGCCATAAGTGTAATCCAGTTCCCCAAGGTCAAATTCCCAGCTGGGTAGAAGAGGCATGCTGGGTAGAGAAGGGGTTACCCTGGGTAGGGCCCATGCATTTTTTTTTGCCAGTGTCAAATTATTCTGTAGGCAAAAGCACAACCCGACTGTATCTGTACTACTGTATCCATCAATTGATGAGAAATATAACAGATTTTGGGTTTACATACATTTTATTCACTTGCCCTCCTAGTGTCCTGTTACAGCTATGCAGGGACAGTAGGGACACAATCCCACAATCCTTGCCAGAATTTGTGGTTTCCACAGAACAAAAGAGACACCTGCAGCGAATGCTGGCAGTGAAGTAGCAGCTTTAGGAAGTGTTATAAGGCTCAGGGACAATAAGAAACTGAATGTAAAAAAATTTTTACTGTTGTATTTAGGAACAAAGTCCATATACAAAAAGTATGGTGGTTGTGAAAAGGTACAGTTGGAAACATGCATTAAGAACCATATGCCTTCGGCTGAGACGCTCGGTAGCCTTCGGGAGCTGTACGGGCTCTAGTGCATAGTCCGTACAGCAGCCCTTCAGTTCGACTGAACCGAAGGGCTCCCGCGGCCGAAGCTAGCTGAAAGATCAGCCGAAGCTACGGCTGATCCTTTGGCTAGCTTTGTGAATAACCCCCTTGCTGTTCACACTGCAGAAGGTCCTCACATGGTGCTTCTGCCTCCTAGCTGGACTATGGTTTCCTCTTATTCTACACACCACTTATTTCACGGGTCACCCTACAGCCCAGATATGGCACCACCTGACTCCTATCTGTTTGGGCCCATGAAGGATTACATTTGTGGTATGAGATTTAAGGACCTGCAGAAAGTTAAAACAGCTCTGGAGCAGTGGAGTAAAGAGGGCTCTGAATTTATTTCAAAACTGGATTTGAAGCCTGGGAAAAAAGATGGCACAAATGCATTGAATGTAATGGGGACTATTTGGATGGGTAACTGTGAGTAGAGGAATTTATATAGGCCAA